GACGGACACGACACCGACCGTGGCCGGTACGGCACCCTGGCGACCAGTCATCAGTCAAAAGACGGACACGGCTGACGACGGGGTCTGCACTGCGGAGACACTTAAATATAAATAATAAAAACGCACAATGTCTAGCTTTACTTGCATACATTCAACAGCCTGATGGATCTTCTCAAGCTGCATTGATTGAAAATGAAGCAAGCGTCCGTGGCCTTGGCGCTTAACACAGTTAACCCGAAATGACGCCATTACCTGTTGCCTCACGATCTCCTCCACCTTCTGAGCGGTCTCCAGATTTTGCGGGTACGGCATACCGTGCGTGATGATGGTAGATTCGAGGGCTACCACTGCATTGCGGGCCCTGAGCGCTTCACTGACAGGTGGCGCCACCTGCATCGATAGGTGGCGCCACTGCCGCCAAGCTCGGCAGCTGCTGCCCAATGTCCAATGAAGAGCATAAGCGTTCTGCATCGCCATCTACAAGCTAGCTGCAATGCGTGAAAAAAGATGAAAAGCAATTAGATTTCTTTCAAAGATGTCATTTGTAGATGCACATATGGGCAAGAGCTAGGAAACAAAGTGAGAACTCATGCAGGACATGCTCTAAGATCAGTAAATTTCAATGGTCACCCTACCCTGCACCAAGTGTGCTCTTGAATAATTTTAACATCATCTTGGCAGAGTGGAATCTTTGACTCAAGGTAAGTAACAAAATTTTAATAATGTATTTACTAGCATCAAAGCAGTCAGAACATCCAGCACATCACACATGCATAGCATCACACAGTTGGCTCCATAAAATGACTTATACCATCAGGGATATTGCCTGACAAACAATTACATATTGTTCATGCTATTTGGCACACAAAAAATTGACTAAATCAGGCTGCACCCTGCCAACAAAAAAGACAAAAATGCTGAATCACAATAGCAATCTGAATGAATAAATTGTTTTCTGAATTTGATGGCAGGCATGATACAGAATAAGCTTTTTCTGCCAATCACACAGACAAAAATTACAGTGCAACAACATGCAGCTTGACATTCCCCTTCAAGGTTGTCTAAAGATGTTGCATATACTGGAATCCAGCCTTGTGAAATACAGTGCAACATAATCTTAGAAATATTATCATATTTAATAAATTCTCTATTATGGCACATCTGCACCAACATAAGCTGTTAGTAGATATTAGCAAAGTGATAAGATATGCAGCAAGTCCTAGTATGCAGATGCATGCATACTTTCTGACTCCTAACACACCAGTAGCATGTATTGATACAAGATCCATGAAGAGGAAGAATAAGAAGAGCAGACAATCAAATTATTTTGGATCAAAGATGATCTATGTAGGTCTATGCTCACTCCAGTGGAAAATTTAGTTTTGTTACTGGTGGCAGGGTACACAAATTATAGCAGTCAGAGTATAAACTTGCCCACAAGCATAGGCCTGCCTATTTTGGAATGTCAGCACAACGAACCTCGGGTGGAGTACATTTTATGTATGTAATGTGTGTAATGTGCTACAAGCTCGCCTATACATGCAGACTCTGTGAGTGACTTGCATACCCATATTCTTGACCCTAAGAGAGCTGGGATAAATAAAGAATAGTGCACCCTTCACCGTGTGTATCGCACAACGGTATACCTCTCATCAATGCAGCGCCTCGAGTGGAGCGGGCGCAGCTCTATCCGCACACCGCGCCTCGGCGAAATTTACACGTTGGTCAATTTGGCATTCACGTTCAGATTCAGGTCCATATTCGGGGTTACGCAACACATCCTTGACAACATTTAGTCCGAATCCTCACCCAAGGCCCTAGAGCAGAATCCTTACCAAGAGGGGAACAGTACTTAGTACAGATTCATACTAGAAACAGTGGAGTTTAGTACGCACATGTACTAAACAACGCAGCCCGGTAACCCAGGGCTGTGTTCCAATCGGGATCAGTTCTGCTGTTTGGTTGGGATGGGCGCTCACATTTTGGCATAAAAATATGACTGATCTGTCGATTTTCAGTCGCTTTGTCGTAAATATATTGTCGGACTGTTAGATTTCTGAGAAACCACAACACCGAGTGGAACGTGCTACGACGGAATCTTGCCCGCTCCGAGGACTCGCCAGCTGCTTACCCGAAGTGGAGATTGTGGTCCCCCTCCCCCTGGTGATGGTGGATGATCCCTGAGGGTGAATATGTAAATACTATTTTGCAGTTTTGTTCATTTGTAAAGGTACTGAAGTGTGTTAAAGTGATAACCTGAGACATCAAAAGCGGATGAAAAGTAAAAAGTGATGCCCAAATAAAAAGCCGGGGCTAAAGCAATAAAGAGTGGTTTTACTAGTGTGAGTGGTCCCTCAATATCATTTTGACCATTCTTAAGGAAAAGTCTAGCTGCAGTAGGTGGGTGTGCTGGTTAAAGAAAGTCAACAACATGGCATGGGAGCCATACACAGCATTATGAAAATATGCATACGTATTTTTCAAGAGTCTGGTACATTGATTCGTTAAAAGCAGGCAGACAGAATGCAAATCCCTAACTCACGTCTTAAGCAGGCAAATTAACATAGTTTTCATAGATAACTTTGTGAATGACATTAGTTGGCCAGCATCAAGGGATGGGGCTTTATAAAACCTTGGACTTTGGTGCCCCATATATTGGACTTTTGAGCAGTGTTTTTTTGTGGCTATATATTAACATGACTGCTATACTTGCTTGCACTGATGCACTACATGGTAAAATGCAGTAAGCAACCTGCAACATGCACTATAAAATCCTATTATTCTAATGGCTTGGTCCCCAAACAGCCATTTTGGCCCTTTAGAGAACCAGTTTGGTGCTAGATAAGGTGGTCATCTCCATGCACAATCCCGGTGTGATGATGCTCCTGGTTTGTGCTCAACTTCTTTCTCCTTTTCAAACATGAAATGTTTGTGTTGCAGGTACTAAGCCCTAGGGGTGTCAATTTTTGTAAATCATTGTGGGGCCAAACCAAAGGCTTGCCAACATACTGTCCATTTTGCCTCACCAAATTTAGCCCATGCCACTTTAATTTAATTTAATTTTTTTGAAAATTTTAATTTAATTTAATTTAATTTAATTATCCCACTTTAATTTAAGTAGTATAGTCTTTGATTTAAGCAACATAGAAGTCATGTAGCAAAGCCAATACAGTTAAGTCTTTGGTTTAAGCAGTATGGAAGTCATGCAGGGTTTGATCCAGGGAACAGGCACTGGCTGCATGCTTTTTCTGGTTGGCATGTGAAAACACCCTTTTTGATGCCACATTAGGGTCGCGATGGTGCTCTCCAGTGATGGCCACATGCAATTTGGTTGGGAGGATGGAGCAGGTTTATCCATGAAGGACTTAAGTCATCCCCATATTTCAGAGCTTCCAGCCAGAGCACTTAAACTGCACAAACCAATCTGCCTTCTTTAACTTCACGAACCAATGTCGCCTCCGTGGTCTAGGGGAAAGATGCTGGGCTCTTAATCCAGCGGCACTGGGTACGAGTCCCACGTGGGCGCATTGTTTGACCCGACTGACATGGAAAGGTCAGCTGGCAACTGGCCAACAAGGGTCAACCCAGGCCCGGGGTGGCCGTGCCGCAGCATTGTGCGGCACGTAAAACCTCCGCAGTCCGTCTGGCAAAAGGGCGAGGCAGAACTATCCTTGAACTGGACTGCACGACTTGGGTGGTGGGTTCGGGGTACACGCAATAAGCTATGCTTGGCGGATACTCTGAGCCTGAAGTCACCCATGCAAGCCATCCAGAATAAATTTATTAAAAATCAGTGTTTTATGGTGCCAGGTGTGTGAAGTTTGTTTGCGTCGTTTATCTGCTCAGCTGTTGCGATTTGTATCTTGTGCTAAGAGCAAGAATGACTTTGTTATGAGTGGTATGAGATGTCCACTATGCAGAAAGATTAAGACATAGTTGGTTGTGATAATCTTTTAACCCACATTTCATGTGGTATTCCAGCTAAAAAGATTTGGGGGGGGGGGGGGCAAGCCAGATTGGCCAGGGCCCACTCAACATCGTGGGGCCAGGGCCCTCACAAAAGAATACAAATCAACACCTGTGCTGAGCCCTGCATGTTCTGGTTTTACAATGGTATGACTGACTGTATCGGCCTGTGATACACAATATAGAACAAAATCTTGAGTGAGTTTGTTTTGTCCAGAGAAAATACCAAGCGAAGCTAGTTGCATGCACCCTGAACCAGACAGTGCTTGGCCTGTCTGGTGCTTGCGCCTGAAACCCCAAAGAACTGAGAGTCCAATCCGGGGATCTCATTAACCTGGAACCCTAACAGCATCCTTCATCTACCCTTTGGGAATCAGGCACACATCTGCCCTTGAAAGCCCCAACCCCAGTAATACCTTCGTCAGGTGCCTATCTTGAGGGTTATTATGAGGGAGAGCAGCAGCATGTTTGTCATGCCATACAGTACCATGACATGGCTACCCAGCCAGTTACCAGCAGATTTTGCCATGCCAGTGTGGCCAGTCATGTGCCTGCTCTGGGAATCATACCCCGTGAACCTAGATCACATGCCCATCATCTCCCTACAGGGTACAGAGGTGAAAGGTTTTTCTTCATATGAATGAAGAAATAATGCCTAAGGGCTGGAGTGGAGTTGACAATTTACTTGTCTGTATGCTTGACAGTGCTGTCAGTTGCCATGGAACATGTAAACGTCTTGGTTTTGGTGCTGGTAATTTATTATACACTATCTGTTTGTTGCTTTTGGGGGCCAGTTACACAACTAGCTTGACATTTTAAGACATCAATTACAAAGACATAAGATTCTTTGGGCATTCATTGTGGTGATTATGGGCAATATAGTCACGGAAGTATGTTTATGTTGTCTGTTTTGGGGGTGGGTATATGATTAGCTCAATATTGTTATCATTCAAAATATGATTTGTATAACATGTTGCAATGCAAATTTTCTGCATATTGTCAAATGTTTGTTGCCTCCATCTCTGTACTGCTTGCACTGCACATCAAATGATTCTTTGTTTTTCAGAGTCTTCTGTTCATCCCTATGCCCACTGTAGCTCTGCAGACATGAGTCTTCTAGGGAAACGTGGCCGCTGCTGGCCGAAAGCTATGCGGTCTTGCATTAACAGGTTGCCAGGAAATGCTCGTCAGGCAACTGAGGACGACTGTGCCAGTTTTTAATTCTGGAGAGAGATATCAAAGCAGAATATGGAAGGGAGAGGAAGACACTTCCTGACAAACAGATGGTAGTTGATGGATTGAAAGAACTGAAACATGAAGTGGGTGTGTGGAAAGACGAATTCTGGAACAAATTCACCAAGGAGGCCTCTCTTTCTCGTGCGACCAGGTGGGTGTGCGTCCGCACAACGCGTGGCAGTGAGCATGACCGTCCGTGTACAGGCAGCGTAACGCGTGACTCGCCCCGGTTACCACAGCCTTCGACAACGTCTGAAACAGCTGCGCCTAACCGACCAAGCCGGGAGCGCGCCGGCAAGCGACACGTTTCCAGCGGCGCCGGCGAGCGCAGCCGGCTGGCGGGCCGTACTGGCGCCACCGCGGTCCTCTCGCTTCACGCTCTCGCGTGTGCTGCCGGCAGGCGAGGTGGACACGGTGTTCCAGCTGAACAGCGAGGCGGCGCTGGAGCGCTGGATCGTCACGGCCGACCGCGACAACAGCGACGGCCAGAGCCAGGGCGAGCTGGTGCTCGGCCGCCACGGCAAGGCCGTGCTGCGCGGCACGCTCGACACGACCCCCGCCGAAGGACGGCAGCAAGCAGCGCGCCGGCTACTGCAACATGCCGCTGTTCTGCGACCGCAGGTCCGTCGGCGCCCCCTCACGGGACCGGCGCGGTCCCCGCACGGGGCCGACGCGCCGGGCTGCGGGCCGCCGCGTGGGACGGGGTGTCGATGCCGTTAGGGTTGGCTAGGAGTGCGGTCGGGCCATGCGGCCGTTGTCGCGATGACAACGCTGGAGGGCGTTGCGCAGTGGCGTTGTATGCGTGAGATGCGCCGGGGCTGGCACGGACAGGAGTGACCAGAGACCTTGACGAATTGTTTTGGGAACGAACAGTGTTGTGCTGTGCGTGCTGAAGTCTGGTATTTGTGTTGCAAAAGCATAAGCTTTGGCACTTATTTTATGATATTTTATATCTTTTATTAAATTCCTTGAAACAATGTCAGGGAATACCCAAGCTTGCAAATGCACTTGCCCTGGCCCACTGCTCATTTGTATTCAGTGCTCACGATATGCGCCAGACATCTGGGGACAGACATCGCTCGTCATCAGGCATCCTCTACACGTCACTGGAGGCGTTCCAGAGGTGCCAGCCACGTCCAGCAGGTGGACCGCACTACACAGCGCGTTGAAAAACTCGCGTTCCACTTTCCAGAAGTCTTTCAAAGCGGGACGGCTTCTTCGACTGGTCGGCGTACACGCACGTGGTACTGCGCGTGCGTGGTGACGGGCGCTCCTACATGCTGAACCTGGCCTCCATGGGCTACTTCGACCTCATGTGGAACGACATGTACTCGTTCCCGCTGTACACGCGCGGCGGGCCGTACTGGCAGGTGTCTCGGGTGGGTGTCGCCTTGCGCCCTCCCGAACCGCGTGAGCAGGACCGCCAGCGCGCGACTCGCAGCTGCGTCTCGCCCTGTGACGTATTGGGCCGCACGGACGGCCGCTGCCTGTGCGTGGTGTCGCCTCGTCCCGTCCGTGAAGCGTAGTCGTGGTGATAGCACTGTCCAAACCGGGTAAAAAAACAACTCAGAGGCTGCTGATATGCTTGCGACCGTTGTGGTCAGCTGCCCCGTCAAGCCCCATTGTGTTGACAAGCGTTGCCAACATTCCACAGTCATTTCGGTGTATTTCCCGACTGCCACGCCCGGAGCCGCTGCCGGTATCCACCGGAGGCGCAGTCTGCAGCGCGCCGCTCACCGTCCGCGCCTCGCCGCAGATCCCGTTCTCCAAGTTCTTCCTGTCGAGCAAGGGACGAATCCAGGACAAGCAGTGCCCACTGATGCAGGACCGGATCACCAGCATCGGCATCACGGCCGCCGGCGTGAGCGGCCCTTTCCAGCTGGAGATCGACTACATCGGGCTCGAGATGGACCCCAAGCACGACGAGGAGTTTGCCTACGAGATGTACAAGACGCCGTCCTTCATCGCCGGCGTGTAGCCGCCTGGCCGCCGGACGACCGGCGTCGCTGTAGTTGCGAGGCGCGTCCGCGCCGGCGGCCGTCGCCGTGCTGGTCAGAACCGGCGCCAGTGCGGTCGGCGGCGGCGTCGGCTGGCGGTGCGGCCCGTCTGCCATCTCAGGGGAGCGCTGCGGCTCGGCCGGGCCCGCCGCGGGCGCGCAGCCTCGATCGCTCGACCGGTATTGGAACTGGTGCGAGCGTGTGTGCCGCGTGCTTGACCTCATTGTGATAGGAGACCTGGGCCGGACTGCGCCCCCGCTCCCTGCCGAGACTAGCCGTTGTTGTGGATGTGGCGTGTTGTGCTCGTGCCGAGCTGATGTTGGCTCTGCGCCGACTGCGCCCCGCTCCCTGCCGAGACTAGCCGTTTGTTGTGGATGTGCCGTGTTGCGCTCGTGCCAAGCTGACCTGGGCTCTGGTTTTTCGGGCGAGGCGTGACGCCGCGGGTCTGGCCGCTGCGCGCGCCGAACATGTCAGCAGCACGTCACCCAACTGCAGCCGCCTGTAGCAACGAATAGATGCGAGTGATTCATTACCTCTGTCGACTCGACCTGACTCGCGGACATTTGCCAGCGAGCACAGCAGCGTGCAACGCAACCTCCAAGCGCTCGTTTGCCACTGCTGGCAGTTGCCAGCCTCGCTATTTGTTACCTAATCGCGGTAGCGTGTGGTTATGGGGAAACTAATCATACAGAAAGCGATCTGTCTGTCTGGCGATTGGCATATCGACTTCACTCCACGCACATAGGCTTTACACATCCACGAGGGTTCCATTCTGGTGGCGCGAGTCGTGTCTCCGTCCGGAATGTCTCTGCAGCTCGAGCAGACCTGCTGACCCATAAAACCGCGTATCATACAGATACATCCACAGCGGAGCTTACAACTTAGAGACGCCTGCCGCCCTTACATCATGAGCGAGATGCGCCCCCGGAGACCGCGCGTCGCCAAGTGCCCGCACTCGATCTTCATCCATGTGGGATTAACGTGCTGAATTCAGTTGGCAGCTCAGAGCGCTTGATGACACTTGCTCCGATGTAGGGAACTCGGGCTTGGTACAGCATGTTGCGCTCTATGCTGTTCGTGGGGGGGGGAGTGATATCGCAGGTGTCGTTTTCAAGATGGAGCAATAACTCTTGTTGCAGTACTGAGACGATGTAATACTTCTAGCAATGAAGAGCCGACTATTCCTGTCTACATCACCTTCCTATCCTCCGTAGCATCGGCCGGCGGGCCGGCCACTTCGTGCCGGACCACAAACGACATTGTGCCGATCTTAGGTGTATGGTCAATCCACGTCTTCGCGTACATTCGGATGGCGAGTCCTCACCCAGCACTGGAACGTACCGATCTGTCGGGCGCGTGAACAGGCTAAAGCAACACAACGGCAACAGAGCCCGCGCTGCACGCGCCATATAAACCGATCATCCGCCACCATGCCGGTCACGACACCACGTGGCATGAGGACAGGTCACGACCTGACATCGGCGGTGGGGCGAGGCCGGCCGCACCGCCACTGGGGACGCCCCGATCACTGGCTCGCGCGCCACCAAGCGGTTTTGTAGTCCCACTAGCGGTGAGATCACGGCCGCGAGCCGCGGACCACCATCGCGTCCGAGGCGCGGTCGGCCCAGTCCGCACGCACAACACGGCTGTGGCGAGTGGGCGCGGTTGGCGCGAGGCCGCGCTCGAGCCCGCGCGAGCGGCCCCGACCTCGCCGGGACGCCCCAGGTCGTGTGGCGCTCAGATGCCCCCCGTCCGGGGGTGATGTCCCGTGCGTAGGCCCGCCACCCGCCATTGCTGCCACGACGCGCTGCCGCCGACGGCCACGCGGACCGCTGTCGTGACCCGCTGTCCGCACCGTCGCTCTCCTGCGCCCATGGCGGCGGAGCCGACGGTCTACGCGGACCGCTGTCGTGACCCGCGCTGTCCGCACCGTCGCTCTCCTGCGCCCATGTCGAGCGGAGCCGACGGCCTAGCGGACCGCTGTCGTGACCCGCGTTGTCCGCACCGTCGCTCTCCTGCGCCCTAGGCGGGCGGAGCCGACGGCCACCGCTCACCGGCGGCGCTCGCGGCTGCCGCTGCGGCCGCCCCGGTGCCGCCGCTCCGGCTCGCGGGAGCGGCGCCGCTCGCGGCTTCCGGCCTCCGGCTCCGCTGGGCCGCGCTCCTTCCTGACGTTGCTGCCGGGCCGTTCGCGGCTACGGCGGCGTCGGCGCTCCCGGGAGCGGCTCCGGCTTCGCTGGCGGTCCCGCGGCCTCTCCTGCTGGTCGCGGCTCCTGCGTTCTGATGGTCTCGACTTCGACTGTCCTGGTGGTCTCGACTTCGACTGTCCTGGTAGTCTCGACTCCTGCTGTCGTGGTGGTCTCGAGTCCGACTGTCGTGGTGGTCTCGACTCCGACTGTCGTGGTGGTCTCGACTCCGATTGTCGTGATGGTCTCGACTTCTGCCATCGTGGCGGTCTCGACTCCGGCTGTCGCGCCGCTCGCGGCCGCGGCCGTCCTGGTGCTCGCGGCCCCGGCTGCCGCCGCGCCCCTCCCGGGCACCGGCGTCCGGGTCGCGTTCGCGTCGGATGCGCTCCTTCTCCATGGCAATCTCCTCGGCGATGTCGCGTGCCTGTGGCGCCCTGCGGACGGCGATAGTGTCAGTGGGGCCGGTCCACTGCCACCCCCACGGCCACGGAGGCGACCGCCCGCCCGCGGGCGATCCCATGCGGCCGCGCGGAGGGCGCGGTGAGTGTTGAACACAAGCGCCACGGGTCGCACACTCCGATGATGAGACAGCTCAGAGAAGCCAGCCGGATTCCCCACAACACCACGCAGGCTTTCGTCTGGGTAAGGCCGATAGGCAACAACGTTGAACGCACGCTACGGAACTAAAAGGTCAACTGTAATTGGCGTGGCACATTTTAGGGACTACAGATCGCCCCGGATGGTCCCCTGTTACTGGTATCATGACACGCCCGTAAAACCAAACGACGGATGATAAACGATCGACAGAAAAACAGAGCGGAAATCATGGAGAACCCAGATTATTGACAGCATAAAAATATCGACAAGAATCGAAATGGAAAATTGTTCCATTCCATCGTGCCGGAAACGTACTGAGTGTCACACATACACGCTATTACTAAGAGACAGTCACAGATAATGAAATGAGTGATGGACGACTGGCAAAAAAATCCATAGGGATAACTACTGACATGGGAAACTATCGCACACCGACAAACCGACATGACAATGAATGTTCTGCAGAAAAAGAAAAATGCTGAAACTACAATTTATATGGGTTGAAACGACACCCATCCATTCGAACACTTTCTATTTCGATGTTCCCACCTAGCGTTTACAAGCGTTTATCCAGCGTTAATAAGCGTTAGTCCCCACAAGCGTTTACCACTGGATCATTTTCAGTGCCACCATTTTTGCGTGTGGACAATTCAAACCACGTGCATGCTTTCTATCGACTGCATTTAACTTTTTCCATCCGATATAACGCCCAGTTAGCGAATCACCAACGCTCTAGCGACCCACGCTAAGGCACCGTTCACAGCAGCGCCGTCCGCAAGCGGGGGCACCGACCTGTTCTGGTCCCGGCCGGGGCTGCGCTCGCGCGGCGAGGGCCGCTCGGCAGGGGCCACCGGCCGCGCCACCGGCGTCTCGCCTGCCTGCGGTCCCCCGATCGCCGGGAAACGCTCCTTCAGCAGCTTCTGGACCTTCATCTGCAACACATGGCCCGCACGGTCAGCGAACAGGAACACACGGTCAGCGGAAGGGAGCTCACGGTCACGGGACGGGAGGGCACGGTCAGCGGAAGGGAGCTCACGGTCAGCGGAGAGGAGCTCACGGTCAGCGGACGGGAGCGTACGGTCAACGGACAGGAGCGTACGGTCAACGGACAGGAGCGTACGGTCAGCGGAGGGGAGCGCACGGTCACGGGAAGGGAGGGCACGGTCAGCGGAAGGGAGCTCACGGTCAGCGGACGGGAGCGTACGGTCAACGGACAGGAGCGTACGGTCAACGGACAGGAGCGTACGGTCAGTGGAGGGAAGCGCACGGTTACGGGAAGGGAGGGCACGGTCAGCGGAAGGGAGCTCACGGTCAGCAGAAGGGAGCTCACGGTCAGCGGACGGGAGCGTACGGTCAACGGACAGGACCGTACGGTCAACGGACAGGAGCCTACGGTCAACGGACAGGAGCGTACGGTCAGTGGAGGGGAGCTCACGGTCAGCGGAGAGGAGCTCACGGTCAGCGGACGGGAGCGTACGGTCAACAGAAGGGAGCACACGGTCAGCGGGGGAGAGGGGGAGCCCGCGGCGTGACGGAGGATCACGCGCTGGGATATGCATTGGAGACATTATCCTGGTCAATGGTGCATTGTTGCGCAAGCTTTCGTACAGGTCCTTCTGGGGTCGTCACTGGGTTGGAAGCGTGCGCTCAGAAGACGAAGTGTGGGTGTAGTGATCGACAGCAGGTGTCTAACTACGTTGATGATAATGGTCATTGGGGTTTTAGGGTGCGCCGACTTCTGAGGCCATTCTACGTCCATAACAGTTAACTTGCTACCAAAGTGTAGAAATGGCTGTCAATCCTACGCTTGTCAAAAATGAGAACAGTTGTTCCGTGCCGAGCATACGAGAATCTTCACCACTAATGTCTGAAAAGGTGAGACCTGAGGTGTCTCGTTCCAAGCGCCCGCTCCGCTCCAGGCGCCTGCTCTTTGCGGAACTGTGGGTAAGAGTGAAATAACGTGGCGAACCGTAAGTGGCGCATCACAATGACATTTAAGCCGTTCTTCAACGCAGCAGAGGTAGCTATGCGGTACATGCGTGTGGCCAATCCGTAACCTGCTGAGAATTACTTCTTTGCGTCTCAACTGACGCGAGCTTGACGGCCATGGACCCAGCTGTGGCTTGATCACCTTTAACTTATTGCTCACAGTCGCGTCCCAGCAGCGTTGCCACTTCTACCTCATATATGTCGTGATGGCAGGGAAAAAGTTCCTTGCCGGCAAGGGTAGAGAGCAGGCGCAAGGTGCGCGCGCTGACCATTTTGCGGCCGCGTCAGCAAGCTCGTTATTATCTTGTATAGTGGGACAAGGTGGTGCACACTGAGGCGTGTTTCGGTAAAGAAAGTGACCGAATGGCTTGGTCATTTATAAATGCAGCACCAACGCCTACCTCCGTTTTTGGACCCCATCGGTATATGTGGCTTTAAGTCCTATGTGAGACCCGATGTGTCCCAAAGCCTTCGACCTTAAGTCGCCTGGGATCGCTCCCTGTTTGCTGATGCATGAAAGGGAGACATCCACTTTTGGCGAAATTAGCTCCCGTGGAGGTACCAGCACGGGACGCGACGTTAACACACCACGCAAACTAATATCACTTTCGCACAACAGCCCCTTCATTTGAACGCCAAATGGAATAGCGTACGGCCTTCCGCTACCTTGAAACATGCTTGCAACAATACGTGCAAAAAGTGCTCGGTGAGTCGGATGGTTTGGAAATTGGACCAGCTTGCAATAGTATCACATGCCAAGCATTTCCGTTCTCAGTGCCAACGCCGGTTTCATTTACTTGCACCGCAAGGCTGGCAACTGGTGCTGCCCTGAGTGCTCCGGTCACAACGCCTAATGAGGAATGATGCACGGTGTCTAGTAAACGTAAACAGGCGCCTCATTATATTGGAAACGCAAATATTTCCATGAACATACAGCTAATCAAATGATTCGCACCACACACACACCACAATAGCAGGCTACATCATCGCCGTCGTGATCGAGAAATCTGTCTATCATGGCCGTTTATCATCACCAGGCCACGAGGCTGTTCCCCAGTCGTTCATTACGGCGGACGTGGGGACCGCTTGCTCCGTGAGGAGGGCGCGGACCTCACCTGGATCGGCACGGGGATGCGGGGGAACAGCGTGCCGTACCAGTCCAGCTTGACCAGCATCTTGCGCACCATGACGCCGACGGTCATCTCCTCGCCGCCTCCAGCCCTGACGTCGATCATCTGCGGGTGGAGGGCAGAGGGCGGCGGCGTCAGCGGCGGACGCCAGCGCACGGCGGCGGCCACGCGCGGCCAACTCCAGACCGACGGCACTGCTGACTGACAAGAGAGCGCACAGGGCCGCGCCGCGACCGGACGCGGCGCGCCACCGCGCCCGCGCGCGCCACGCACGCGTACTGTGAGGCAGCGAAGACAAAGCCGGCCCACCCCGCGTCGTTGCCTGATTACTTGCGAGGGCGCACGGTCCGTGGCGTCTCCGAGCGGCGCAGAGCTCCCTGTCGGAACAGAGCACAGGCCGGTTCAGGGTCATCCGAGCGGCCGCGCTGCCGCCGCCGTCGCCGCTACCGCCGCGCAATGTGCCAAACACACAGAGTCAGGCGCGGTAGACACAAACACGGCACAGACCGGCCCGGCCGGCCCGGCCCGGCACGGGAGGGCATGGTGGGACCCGAGACACCCGCAGCCGCACCGGCCAAACACGCGCCGAAATACATAGCCGTCAGCTGAGATTACTGGTGGGAAGGAGCTGAAGCCGAGGCTCACTAGAGTGGTTGGTGCGGACGCGAGCACCGGGTAATGCTCGTCTGGTATGGTCGCTTGTGTGGTCTTCATACGCACAGCATGTCAATTTGAAAAAGGCCGTGATATGTATCAAATAACATCTATGAACTTTTTTTTTGCTGCGCTGCAGATCTATGATAATTTGAATCTTTTTTGTGCAGCCCATCTTCATCTGCCTAGGAAAATATCTCCATGACAGCCCCTGGAACACGAACACACATCTCTCAATTTCAGAATATCCTTCACCTGCTATCGTTGCTAGTGTCTCGCAAATGGCGTCTTTAGCTGCTGAGCCCTGGGACCAAGGTCTGTGTCTCTAGCTATCAGGCCGCACTGATTGCGGGAAAGATACCAATTTAAATGTCCGGTAATTTTCAACAATACTTGTCAGATAACGCGTGCTTCCGACTATTTTAGCATCCTTACTTGCACCTTTTAAACTGACCTTTCAGGCGAAACACTTTATAACACTGTGGTTTTGTTCGTGCGGTGTTCGTGTGGTGCGATGATCAAGGAGCGCGTGCGGCATCTGACCGGGGCGCGTATCTCGACTGGTGCCCCGTCCCAGAGTACGGCGTCCGCTGTCGTGGAGCGGCGCGGCGCCGCCCCGCGCCAGCGCTGCCCTTACCTCCTCGTCCTCCAGGTACGGCTCAAACCAGCCCCAAAGGTCCGCCGGCGGCTGCGTGTACCTGCCGGGCAGCGACGGGCCGTCAGCCGAGCCGACAGACGCCAGCAGGAGCGACCGCCGCGCGCCAGGCCAGCCCGTTCGCGTGCGGGAGGCGCACGGCACAGCATACATAAAAAGATGCTCCCTTCACTAAGTCACATGCAGCAGAATACGTCCGGCGCGTCGCGCAACCACACACTGTCAAATTGGTAATTATTTGGTAACTTTTCAGTGCATATGGCTGCTGAGGTCACCAAGGTCACTAAGGTCACTGAGGTCGCTAGCCTCGCCAAGACCAACACTCTTGGAAACCAGATCCATGACCACACTGTGAGTTTTTGGGTCCCGAGACTGTCCAGTTTCCTAGCCTTTGCCTCTGCTGACTTCCTCCGTAGCCCCTGTCAACGATGACAATACCACAGGTACCCACCTGAGGTACATGAAGCCCAGGCCCCGCAGGTACGGTGAGTCGGTGTGATGTAGCAGGCCGTTCACCTGCTTGCGGGTCAGGCGGAGAGTGAACAGCTTGTAGAGGCAGGAGAAGGCTGTGGAGACGATGCCGCCCACGCCAACGCCGCGCACCTGGTGAAAATGGCGACCAGCACTGGTTAGCCACTGTCACCTGGTCACCACCTAGTCAGTGACAATGACCAAGCATTGCACATCACTTGCCTTGCCAAGCTATATTTCTGAAGCACAGTCCATGCTGCAGGCTGGCTGTCTCTGGGTTTTAATTACATGCATGTGCAAAAGGACAACAGACATCCTACACCACTAACACCATATAACCAATATGGTGTGCAGAGGCCTTTTGCAGCCTTTGTGTCATGTTTAAAAGGCATTAAGTCTTTACCAACAATGAAGGCCTCCATGCAACCAACTTACCCCTCCACACATCCCAGTTTGTCCTCCTGTCTTCCTGCTACCCTTCTCCCAGGGCTCAAGATGGTTCACATTGTAGTAGATCTCGTCGATAACTTCATGGTACGTTTTGAATTCGAACAAATTCACTGCAGACAACACACAAAAAGTCACTTTCAAGGTCACTGTACATAATTCGAGGGATGCCACACAATCTCTATTATACAAGCAGACCATAAAACAGACATGCTATCTTGACAGTCACAACTATGCACAAACAACACCATCCCCCTCCACATCCCACACCCAGCTCCCTTAATCAAAAAGAGGGAACCCAGATAGAGTAGCTGCTTTTCCCAGGACTATATTATGCTATATAATATATGGCTACAGTAGCCTCTATCAGACAGTATCTAACACATTAGATTAAGGGCTGCAAAGAAGTGGGACATTATCTCAACCCCTGGATCTCATGTGCACAGGACTTTATGAATGCTGGATGTTTTGAGCTCTGGATGCTGCGGTTCAGGATGGGTTCAGGATGCCGTGCGCCAGGACTTAATGATTCTCCTGTCTAGGGACATTGGACAGTTTCTCGATGTTATGAATGCTGGATGCCAGTGAATATAGACGTTTTGACCAATGGACTTTATGAACTCTGGACATTTCAACACACATCTGTACTGAAAGTATTCAAAGCACCATCAGTAGCACAAAATGACATACCTTTGAAATAGTGTGAAGACTGGATGTTTGTGAGGACTAGATTGTTCAGGTTCATTGTCTTTTCATTTCCCCATAATGGCAGAGTATTGGTGTTCTTTTTCTGATACTCCACATCCTCATCCTCTTCACTATGATTCTGCTGCATTGTCCTGATCTGAAAACAACATATTTTGTCAAAATGTGACACTTATTTATCAGGCACATTCCTGCAGGCTACAGCTACACCAGTCCTGAGAACAGCACAGTACACAAGCCACCACAGCTGACCAGTGACCTGTGCCAGGCACAGGTCAGCTCATGCAGCAAATCATCATTATCAATGACTATTATTATTATTAGGATTATTAATGAGCTACTGATTAATTAACTGAATTAGACTCAGGTACAATAGGAGATCAGGTATGAGAGAAAAGAACACAGCCATTCAGGAACCCACTTAATTTGTATCACATAACATAACTTCACCAGGCTGTTAACACTAAATCAGTGTGTTCATTAAGACTTTTCAATGATGAACATGATGATCACTCATCAGAGATCAGCATGCATCTAGCTTATAAGCAAATGGTGTTATTGCCTACAGTAAGATAGCTGTGTCAGATCATGCTGTAGAGGGAGGAAAAATTTGTTGTAATGCTTTGGGCTATTACATGCAATGTGCCACACAAAAGGTAAAAACTCAGTACAAGGCTATCTAAGTTAGTCATGAAAAACCTTAATGGTCTTATAAAATTAGGCATTTTGAACCCTTAGGGATGAATCTTTTTACGTTCTGATTGTTTGTGTACAAGCTTTGACTGTACCTTAAAAATGAGGAGTGTAGGCTTAAAGAAGGTACAAAAAGGGTGGCAAGAATGGTCAAAGGTGTAAAAAATTTGGGTACAACACTGTCATCTAAAAGTTACCTTTGAATTTAAAAGAAACAACATGGTGAAAGGCCATAAACACAACATTAAGTTGGTAGCAGATCATTGGATAAGCCATCTACCAGTAATGACATCATGAATATTACCTGGCTCCCATTTTCAAAAAAATAATACATGTAAGTACTTCATGATGTTGGAAGAGCTTTTGAGCATTCTAGCCAGACTGCAAAAATATGTCAGACCAAACATGCTTGGTATAGCAACAACAGAATGGTGACAATTTTAGGGCATGCATGCTTAAATCATAGGACTCAGCTCCAGGCTTAGTGCATTCATCACAATTTCAGCACATACTACCTAATGTTTTGAGAAACAATGGTGTTTCAATCATATTTCAGCCAGCAATACACTGATTTTTGTATCCACAAATGACTTGAATCTTTTGCACATTCTGGCTGAGTCAGAATTTGATTTCAACAGGCCGAGGTTCGGTGCTGGGCATGCAGATGTTGCACCGGCATCTGGTGCAGTGGGCACATATTTTTCAGCACAGCATTCTAGGAAAACAAACTTAAGAGAATAAACTTCATTACCTAGGCTCTTATCACATGAATGATTACAGGTAGCACATAATAACATGTCTTGTGACTGAATCACCACTCTTCCATCTGCAATGCTAACAGGTCTCATCTCAGGCATTTGGCAAAACCATGTACCACAACAAAATATATATTTGGGTGGCATTAACAAGAACCCAACTTAGTTAAACAGGGTGGGAAAAGTGTGAACTATTAAGATCACAGCAGTGCCCCGAGTTTATGCATCTTGTACTCATGGTCTTGCCTATTTCACTCTGCATAAGCATTATAAGCCTTTTGTACAAAGTCGGACTTGTAGAGATCCATGAGAACCCTCAATACCCCTTTCAAAAATCCGTACAAGTCTACGTCCAGGCACCTTACTCTAAAAACTAACTCTAACCGCACGCTGACTCAACGGAAATGGAATTATTGGAATTGGAACATTGGAATTCTAACCGCATGACAACGTACAACCCACATTCACCTACCTATCTTTATCTAAACGCCAGCCTATCCGTCCCAACTTGCAACCCAGTTAAACAACGGACAGCCACACTTCTTAACCACGACTAGTCACTCGGAGACAGGCCATTCACTAACTAGCTACTCCTATTTTAAATCCTCGAACGTTTCGGCGCAGTGGTGCTTATTGAGACAACTTTCGGCGTGAAGCTTACGTCATATTTGTCGCTGCCCGACTTTGAGTCGTTGCAGCAATATGAAATTAACACCACGTACGAAGCCTAAAAGCGTTGATGTGGGAAGTGCGACGCAATCTCTGAGTTGAAGGTGATTATATGGTGTACATCAGACTTTGGCAATTAAATATCAACAGAAGGGACCATGGGGTCATGACGCCTACCCCTACCCCTTGCGCTCCGAGGCAGCTTATAGTCGGCAAACGAATGCAAGTTTTTGCAGTGTTGAACATCAAGCACGATCGATTGGTTGACTCCGGCCTCCAGGACTCAGATGATCAGAAAATCCCAAAGCGAAGATGGTAAACCATACGCACTGCAAATAAAAACTCTTCGCTTACTGGAAGGGTCGTGGTTGAAAACGCTATAGGGCGCATTACACTCTCCCGGGCTCTAATGCTGTTGGGATCCTTTATCATTCTGACATTGATGAGATCCTTTAGAGGTCTCCGGTCTCGGAAAACCAGAAATTTAGGGGTTGCGGGTCCGAGGATATAAGGGTACGATTCAGTCCACGCAGGTCGAAGAAAAAAAAGCGTACCAAGTGAGAGAACGTCCAAAAAGGTTTCTTTTGTCAGAGAATAAGTTTGGACAGTAACAGCATGCTATCTGAAGAGGGAGAACCCCGAAGGCCTACCCTCAGGAGAATTACGCTCACTGGACCTCCGCTGACGAGGCCTGCGCTTACTGGACCTTCACTCACGAGGCATACACTCACTGGACCTACTCTCAGGACACCTACGCTCGCTGGACCTACGCTCAGGAGACCTACGCCCGCTGGATCTACGTTCAGGAGGCCTACACTTGCTGGACCTCCGCTCACGAGGCCTAAGGTCGCTGAAACTACGCTCACGAGACCTACGCTCACTGGACCTGCTCTCAGGAGACGTACGATACCGTGATGCCCACATATCGAGCCACTGCTGGTGGGCCCGTCGTCACCTACCATGGAGAGGGTAAACGAAAACTGACTATCAAAGGCACTAGACAGCGTTGTCCGCTGCTGTGTGGGTCCGCATCACAGCTTAACACCG